GCCACCCCCTCCCCCCCCCCCCCCTTTTTATTTGCTGCTGTCCATATTCGGGCCAGAACAGGACATAACTAAGGCTCACTGCATGCCAAATATGATGTCATGACTAAGCCAAGTGTGTTGGACTGTTTGTGTTGATGCCTGTTCTTGTGTACGTTCCCAAAAATCCCCTTTTTACATTGACAACAGCAATCAATTCAAACCAGATGCAGGCTAACCGGTAAACACACAGCCTGATAAAAGTTCTTTCCCGATACAATGGACTACTAACTAAGGACATTCATATTTTGCCAAGTTACAAAAGTCATTTTTAGCAGTGAGAACTGCAGTGTTCTTGTTTTGTACTTGTAGATGCTTCTTTAACTGAAGGGACAACGAGCAGGAAATGGAAAGGTGACATCACCCTGTAAGAACCCACAAATCCTCAGTGTACCGACTCAGTTTATTTGCAGAAAGGAAAGTCTTTTAGTTTCACCATGAGGAGGAAAGTATTCTTTCACACCAATAAAACCCATTAAATAAGAACCTATTTGATTAAGCTAAAGATCAACCTAACTGAGAATTTTAATAAAATGTTTATTCCCAGGATTTGTTCTTGGCTGCTAACGTTTTAATTTCCTTTACTGCTGAGTCCCCCGTATGCAGCCTTCATATGTCTATGTGTGAATCAGAAACTGACAAAAAGCTCTGAGATGCAAAAGTAAATAAAACATTTCTGAGCTCATACGAATCAAATTAAGACTGCCCTGTTGCTTAGACATGTTCTGCTCTTGAGTTAATTTTAGGAACATCTCAATCATTAAACAGCTGGTATTTTTAAACAACTGACGTCAGAGTCTCCAGCCAAACATAACTCACAATGTCTATTTTCGATACACTGTGTAATTTCATATCAGAGCATACAAGTCACACTGCAATTCATGAAGGTAATTTGAAGAAAGCATTGCTCTTTTCATGTAAACTACTTGCAAAACTCTATTTTAAGGGCATGCACATTATTTTAATAATCTAAAAAAATCCTTTTTGAATTACCTTTAAAGTGTAAAAGAGATTGGCTGTTGGAGTTTATAGAGGGCGGAGAATCATTTTGAGCTGAATAATCAACAAGTCGCATGAAAACATATTAGCACATTGAGCAGCGCGTAAACAAGCTTGATTGACAGCAGGAAGCCACTCCTCCAGATTCTGATTGGTTGTTTTTGACAGTATTTCTGCAGATGGTCATAGTAGCTCATGGAGGACTTTAATCTTTTCACAGACTGTCTCATGCTGTCAATACCTGATAACAGTTTTCACAAATATGTAAAAAAATAAACTTATTTTTGTAAAAGTCACATACTGCAGCTTTAAAGGTACTGAGTTTTCTAGCGTTTGCCTCGTATTTTTTGAATAACAAGAATCCCCATTTGAGTTGAAATCTCAGAAAAATATTGCAATAAATCTGAATGTATAACATTCTATTTTTTAAAAATGTTAGCTTATTTTGATGATCCAGTGAGATTAGAAGATCTAGCTGAAGAAAAAATCCCTGGGTGAAATATGCACCATATTACTGATGTTCACCCACAGAAGAGATTTTGGAACATGCATTTAAACAATCCATTTTTTCAGTCGTTAGTCTGTCACGGCTGAGCCGTTTTGGATTTACTGAGGCTTGACTTTACACTAAAAGCTGATCACGTGACAAGTTCAGTGTGAGTGGAATTAGTCATGAACATCCACTGAGACTTCATTTCCGTTCAGGGGAACTGAGAGCTCCCTGGAATCTGTTCAAAAATGTGCTTTTCTCTCCCGAACATTCTCTCCTGCACACACAGATGTAGACAAATGTCACATAAAAAAGCTGGTCTTTTATCCAAATTTCTCAGCCTCTGAAACCACAGATCTGATGTTTCTGTGTTTGGTTATTTTCATTTTTGTCTCTGCAAGAGTTCACATTTTTCAGGGAACTTGTTGAAATAAATCAGTTACACTTTTTGAACATACTCCCTTAAAAACATGGTTAACTGAAAAGCAGGAGAAAAAAAAATCCAGAATCTGGATGGATCCATTTGTTTAGAACCTGGAACAAGAGCAAACACAGCTTCGACCTGTATACATACCGAGTTGTGAGTCTTGGCAGTGATAGTGCGAACAGCGTCTGTGTCCCAGATGACGAGGTCGGCATCAGAACCCACGGCGATCCGACCCTTCCGGGGGTAAAGGTTCAGGATCTTAGCGGCGTTAGTGCTGGTCACGGCCACAAACATGTTCTCATCCATCTTCCCTGTAGTCTGAGTGCAAAAAACCACAGACATGCAGATCACTGGTGCTGTCACAGACGAATCCAGGTCATTGAAGACCTTTGTAACTTTGGTCTCTAGAGATAAATGCATATATTTAGATCTCATTGTTCTGCTTACAGAGGTGTTGAAGAACAGAAAGTAGCACACAGATTCATGTGCTGCCTTTAACTAATAACTAGAACAGATTCATTTTAAATTGGATTATATTTTTTATTAGCTCTCTTTTTGTCACTGTGATGTAATGTTTGTTTGTTCAAGATGTTTTTATTATGTAAAACACTTTGAACTGTCTTGTCGCTTTACAACAGTTAGCAACCACTTAGCATTTGCTTCAAAGTCCGTTATTGGTGGTAAACTATTTTTAAAGTTCTCTGATGAGTTCAGAATATATTCCATCATCTCTAGTTTAAAATATAAAATGATCCTGAACAGGAAGTTTTTCATAGATTAAAGTTTTTGTGGCGCACCCAGATAATTTCTGTAAGTTTGGTCGATCCGGGCCAGTAAAATCCATACGTGAATCCCTGGAGGAGCCGGCGAAGCACCACCGTTTGAAACAGAGTTTTTTATTCACTAACTATTTGTTCTATTTGTGAAAACATATTTTACATATTCCTGCTTTATATAGTCAAACCAGGACAGAAATACTCTACATTGATCCTTAATATTCTCAAGGGATTGCTGTAATTTCATGAACATTGCATCCTTGATGTCTAGTGAGCTGGATCTATAGTTTTGCCAATGGGAGTGACTGGTATTAGTTTGCTATCTGCTATGGGGAAGAGCCGCTGATACGAGGAAACAGATTCACAGATATAAAAGCTTTTGGGTTCAGACTCATTTTGAAGCTTTGATTCAGAGCAGCTAACCCAGACAAGTGTCTACTCAAATTTTATAGCCTGCTTTTAATTCCAGAACAAAGCTAAACATGGCCAAGGTCCAGTCAAATCCTGATGCAGCGATAACAAGGACAAAAGGACACACAGAAAATGGATAGGAGTTTGTTTGGAATAGACCAATGAGGAATGCATTAAAGATGGATTGAGGATAGTAAAGAACGGTTTCAGATGTAGGGAACATTTAAAGCCAGAAAAAACATGTGAAAAAACATTTCCTTATAAGACAACAATAAAAAAGGAGAGAAATGTACATTTTAAAGGTGAGGAGTATTTAACACCAAATAACGTATATGAAATCTTGTCAGGCATAATTATAAAAGCTATCATATATCATCATTTGCATGTGCTATATTACATTTAATCTTTATTTTTCAAAGTTTAAACCCCCAGAAAGTAGGCCTCACCACAGCCTTATCCCAGATGAGCACCATCCTTTCCTCCACTCCGTTTACGCCTTCTGGGATCTGGGTGAAGTCGTCCTTGCCGATGGCCTTCTGCGCCACGCTGAAGGTACAGTGAGCGCTGCCAGTCACACTGAGGTCTCCGCTGTGACAAAATGACAAATGATGGGGAAATATTACCAGCGGAGAGACGCCTGCTCTCAAAAGCAGGGCTTTGCAAACACAAGGAAATGTCATTACTTAGTTTAGCAGATTTAGTGAGCAGAGAGCCAAAGTTTTGCTCCTACAGAAAATAAATATGAGTAACATTTCCTGTTTCTGTAGAAGTCTTTCCAAATCCACTTGATAGGTAGCAAACAAGTCAAGAACAATTAAGTTTTATTTAAAGGTGGAATATTCATACAATATGTGTACTATAGCTGGAGTCAGTGCTACTCCAAGCAAACATATCCAGAACAACCAGGGAGAACATCAGAACTGTTCTATTTGGTCTAACAATAAAAAACATGGACTCTTGCTCAGTATTTACTGTAAGCCATAAACATGAGCAGGAATAACCTCTTGAAATATTTTACTTTGCCTGTAGTTAATCTTTATATCATCCAAGGAAATAAATAACTGAAATAAATGAACATGTGTTGATATTTGAATTTTTTTTAATGCACTTGTAAAGCAGAGCTGTGCGCCTCACCTTGCCAGCAGTGTGTTCAGGTAGTCTGGAGTTGTGGGATCAGGGCTGAGAGGAGGGGATGTAACAAAAGAAGCAGCTTTGGCCCAGTTCTTGCTCCAGTAATGTGTCCCATCTGTCCCCAGACTGGCTGTGATTGGCTCCCCAAACACCACATTTCCTGAGAAGGAGATAACAGTGATTAAAATACCATGTCCACAGTCATGAGCAGCATAATCATATTTATTTACAGTATCTTAATTGAAAAGATTTTTGTATTTGTATAACTGTTTGAAAGCTGTTTGTGTTTGTAGTGAGATTTTGGTGATAATGGGGGTTTAATTCCTGTCAGGAACTCATCTTTTCTCCTGCTTTTGTTTCCAGTCCTTTGCTCTTACATGTCAGTGATTCATGTTTTCCAGATTTGTAAGGAAGGAACTTGGGAACAGATCCAATCGAAAGGTTTCCAGCTTATAAAGTCATTCAGGGAGTGCATATAAACATAAAAGAAGGCGATCTGAGGTTAGCACAGTTTTGTCTAATGTAGTTTTTTTAACCAGACAACCAAACACATTTTCTTCTCTTGTGCTCACCTATTTTTGCATCCATGTGTTATTTTACAGTTTACATTCACATCCCTCAGTTCAGGCCATGAACAAACAAGACGAGTTAAACGCCTTTTTGTCAGTAACCTGGTGCTCATTTTTAAAAACTCTTCTCAATACCTTTTTTTCGGGCCTGTGAGATGATGTCCGCGGCACTCTTGCTCATGACTCGGGTTACGTAGAGTGGACAGTTGGTTTGGCTTGCGATGGTTACTGCCCGAAACACAGCCTCAGCCTCCAGCTGCAGAGGAGGTACAAGCACAATGTTTGATGTGGTTAAACGGAAATGTTATTCCCATTAGAATTTACCTAAAAATATCAATTTATGTGCTGTCAGGGCTAAATGACGGCATGTGGTGGCTTTCAAATGTTTTCTTAGCCCTTAACATTTTTAGATTTTCTCACAAAACAACCTGAACATTTAATTAGAATTACATCTGACCCTGACCAAACTCTTATGCTCCTTGACAAACCTCTTAGAA